CCTTTATTGCTATACTTCAAAAGTCTTTTTGTAATTTGAGGCTGTCAATTTTTGAAGTTCAAAGTTGACTTTACAACTTTTATTACAAAATGCCTGAAAGCATTAAACTTGAGTATTTAAATATTAACCTGTTAAATGAGCTTTTGAGCTTTGATTAACAGGAAATGTGAAGAATTTAGTTTCGCGTGGCACGAAGATGAATTTTTTCGGAGGTAATTAATGGATTTATTTTATATAAAAGTGATTTAGTATTTTCTTTATAGCAATTTAATTAAAAAGTTTGCTCTAAGTTCTTTTCTTTCAAATTGTATTTAATGAAATTCGGTTGCTCGGCAATAGTAAATAAATTTTTGAAGAAATTTTAATTTTTTTTTAAATTTGAGGGGGAAAGGGGGGGGGGGGGTAATGTTGTTTATAATTGTTTCTTTAAATGGAATATTGAAATTAAAACGAAATGTTTGTCAGCTTCCCAGGAAACGAATATTTCGTAATGCTAAAAATAGAGGGGGGGGGGGTCCATTAACAGCTTAGTTAACTTTACGGTCGACACTTATATTTTGAAAAAATTGTCACTAAGTCAATGTTATCTTCAGAAGTTTTTATAATCTTTGTTACCCCCCCCCCCCCCTCCAAACCCCTCCCCCCTCTTCACTGCAAATGAAAAAGCTATTCATTACTTGATTCTCAAGAAGTAACATAAAGTGTTACATCTAAAAATAAATCTTGATTAGCTTCAATTAACGCATTTCCAATAAATTTCTAGAATCAACTTCAAAAAATACAGAAAATTAGACATTAATTAGTCTTTAATTAACACATTCGTACCTTAGAAAATATCAATGAAATATAAAAATCTTTTAAATTCGATATTTATGAGGCAGACTTCCGATTTACAATTTTTACAAGATTTACAAGATTTTTCTATTTACTTATAAAATTTTAATTAACTCTAAGAAGACGAAAAAGCTTCCGTAAATAAAGGTCTTCACGCTTCACAAGAATCAAGTCATTGGGACATTGAATTCTCATGTGACTTTTTCATTACGATGGAATCTTAAAATCGTACAGCATTTAAAAACATTAAAATATGCATGGCAAAAAAAGAAGAAGGAAGAGTAATTGATTCAAAACCATGAAAACCAATGTATGTTAATTAATTCCAGAGTTAATTTACATCTCTGTTGTAGTTCTTATGAGAATGATAAATTTTTTGCGGTTGTTTTTATCAGAAAATAAATTAATTTTTATCATTTCCAACTTCCCGCACCCCATTCAGTACATTGGTGAATATTTATAAACCAAAAGACGAGGATTGTGGCACATGGTGTCAATTGAATGTTAAGTACTATAGAATTTATAGACGTCTAATATGAAGCGAAGAAAATGCTTAAACAAAAAAAAAATAACTTTTCGTCCTGTCTTCTTACATTCTATTCCATTAATGTCTTTATGAATTTATTTTGAAAAGATATAATAATAATATTAATATAGCGGCCCATATAAATAAATGAGATGCCTTCTTCCGTGCCATCAACACCATCATCATCATCATCACCATCATCAAGATAGCGATTGTCAGGTTAGGAAGGAAGAAAAGTTTGTAATATTGTTAAACAACAAGCGAAAAAAAAATGTGAAGGCTAAGGTGCTAAGTCTTAATGCGATTAGAGGATAAAAAATTATAAAATTAGACCATTAAAGTAAAAAATAATATTCCTGTTTAGCTGTACGGCTGTTTGTTACTTTTCTTATTTCAGTAGAAAGGTGGAAATAAATGTTAATGGCACTTAATAATGTTAAATTAAGGTGAAAATGTGATGGAATGTGGCATGATATTTTCATCCTTAATTTATAGCATCACCCTCTTGTATCTTCTTTTTTTCTCGCTTTTCTATTTCCCCGACAGACATACGTACAGTTTCTTTTTCCTGTATTTTGTACATTTAACTTACATTTAACCTTCGGAATAGTATGAAATATAGATCCAAAAAATATAAAAAAGGGAAGCCAAAAATGCTTAAATGAATCCCGTCAGTCAATTTGCCCTCCATTCCATTGTAATAGGAATTGCTCGTGATGAATGTTGGGCGAGAGAAACAGCAAGTAGAGTGAGACGAAATCAAGTCACATGCATATTCAATGTGATGCTATGGTGATCTACTTTTTTTCTCGTTTATGCTCCAGAATTCCGATATTTTCTTACCCTCACTACATTATGTAATCTTATTTACACCCTCAACATAGACAGAATAATATTCAATCTTTTTGGTAACTTTTGTGTGAATTAGGTTAGATTTTCCTGCATGTGTTATTTTCTCGAGCGTTGGAAACATCAATGAATTTTATACACTGCTCTAAGACAGATTAGGGACTATTCGTAAATGACGGCAAATATTTAGGTAAGGCATAACCTAATGGCTCAAAAAAATCCTCAAATAAATTTTGTGTCAATAAATGAGAAACAAATAAGAAATAAATAATAATAAACGTCATTTATGAACAGTCCCCTTACATTTGCAACATACAAGTGCTTCATAGAGAGTTAAGGCATAGCAAAAGAAAAAAATTCAATCTCCAACCCCTCCAAAAACTGTAAAAATGCGCTTTTATTACCCAAAAAACCTGCCGGCAAAATTCTTATCATTTTCCTATTTCATGAATGTAGAGCACATAATAGAGCAAAAATTGAATGATGTATTTCTTTCATACGCACGAAATTTTTATTTATCTACGTAATCTCATTTTACTAGACTTTATTTTTACGCATTTTATGATGGTGATTCATGCATAGTCTTTACTTATTTATTATGTCAAAAATAATTTTTATATTTTACTTCTTATCGTTGATACTTATCGTCGGTTAAGTTGGTTCATGTGATTTTCTTTTATGTTCGCTATAAATTTATTAGAGTAAGGAGTCGTTCTTATGTTATGTGATGCTTGGATGAGAAAAGAGAGAGGTCTAGCTTTGTTGAATCGACTTGTTTTCAGTTCTTCATGCTGTGAATATGGCTTAATGAGCATATCAAGAGTAGATATGCCTGAGAATAGAGCTTACTGTGAAACTGGTTGTATGTGTATGACGGATAGCCAAGTGAGATAAGAACCTCGGTAGCCGATTGATCGAGTGGTTAGGGATCGCTCCTTTTGGTACGTGAGTTCGATTCCCATCGAACCCGACTTTTTTGACATTAGTATAGTAGTTAAAGGGAGATCTACACATACTTGTCAGAGCCAAGCTTATGTCAATATATTGAACTTAGATAAAGAAAGGCATCAACTGATATTCAACTTAAGCCATCAACGTTATAACCTACGATCTTAACCTCAATATTCCTAGTTTTGTAGCTATTTACGTAATATCCATACAACGCCATTGAAGGAATAGAGAATTAAGAGGATGAATATTGCAACAAAATAGGGAATTATATTATTGTGCTGTGTATACGGATTGCATATGTTATTGGAATCGATAATCAATATCTTCATAATTTATTTACAATAATATTGCAAAATGTGATAATTTTCGATGTGGAATTTTATGGCGTTCATAAATCTGACAGAATCGCGTTGTTTTTCACAATAATCATGTGCTTCTACAAAAGAAAAATCTTATTTATTATTTATTTATTTATTTATTTTGCTTTGCCCATGAATCGTCTCATGTCGAGCAGCTCTTGAAGATGGCAAAGAAAAGTACACAAATCGAAGAGAAGGAACAAGAAGCTGTAATGTATAATCTAAAACGTAATCGTAATCGATCATCATGGATAGGCATTTAACATGTCTATGCGAAAAAATGTGATTTTGAGTCGTTTTTAGTTCATTTATAGTATTCTGTGGCTATTATGCTTCGACACACATATGCTCGGTTCCCTCACTCTAGTTTTTTTTGGTTTGGGGATTAAAGTAATAAATCTAAATCTAATAACTGATGACGGGTAAATTGCTGTACATTTCCATTTCCATTTCTTCTCTAATGCATAAACATTTTTCTCTTCCTTTTCGCCAGAAAAAAACCTTTCTTTGCTGGCCTTTTTTTATATCTACAAAGCAGCAATATACACCTAATTCGACAAATCACGATTTTCCATGGTTAGATTTTTATAATCTTATTTGAAAGATATATGGGACACATGTAAGGTGCTCTATAAACCCACATTTGTATATGTTTTATTGCACCCTGGGTGTTGGAGTCTTGATTGTTGTGTATGGAAAAAGTATAAAAGTAAACATCGCGGAAGCACCGATAACGAAATTCACGTGATTCAGAAATTAGTTTCGTGTTTTGTATGTGACTTTGTTTTTTATCTACTGTTCTAAAATGAAGCACATTTATTTGTTTTTTAAATGGAATTGCTGGTCATGTGAACTTGATTTTTTTGAAATAAAAAATTTATGTCCACATTTAGTTCACGTTTGTCCCTCCTCATTTAATATTTGCCTTTTCTTTTCCATCCTTGCCACATGATTGTATCATCCTGAAGTGACTTTTATTGGAAATACGTGCCAGCTGTTCCGATTTGTGCGACGGCAAAAATGTTTAAAAAAAAGTAATATTGTCCATCGGTAGACAACAGACCATTATATATCATCTGATATTATGAGCATTACTGGTCACGTTAAGGTCGATTAATTATAATTTTGTTGTGTATATTTTCATTATAACAATTATTAAATGAAAAAAAAGCTTGGCAAACAGTTGCTTACTCGTGAGGCATTTTGTAATATGACGCGCAAATTCACATTGTATGTAATATTTTAGATTTGACATTATAAAAGTGAAGAAATAAGTAGAAAGAAGCTAATGTCAGCTATTGTTATACTTTCGAATTCGAATATCAGCATTTTTGTCTTAATTTCGAAATTTGTCATTTTTTTTCGAAACATGACAGCACATGACAGTTTTAAATGTCTCACAATCAGCTTAGCTCAGGCTGACGATACAGGAAAGAAAGAAAAATTGTCGCATTTAAAAGATAATTTGCAATTGCACTCACCCAAGAAGCAATTATGCACGAGGCAATAATTTAATGCACAATAAATGGTTTGCTAGATGAAAAGCTTTCCACTTGCACAAGCACCTGATAAATTATCCGTAATTTTCCTTATGCCAGCAAAAAATGAAGTCGTTCATAAAACTGTGAAATTTCTACATCAACGCCAAAACTATGTGCTATTTTGTAGCACTTAAAAAATTCACATCGAGTTCAAACAATTAAGTAATAAGACGAGAATGATTATGGTGATGATGATGCATCCATTTATTTCAGTATTTAGTCAAAGTGTCTCACTCGAAAAACTTGGCGTGAGTTGATACTTTTTTTAATTTTTGCTTTGGATGTTGATTACGTTACACAAAAAAAAGTTTATTTTCACTTGCAAATCAGCTGGGAAATATATTTTTGTTATTCTCTGTCCTGATGTTCACATCTAATAATAGATCAGCGTTTTATTCGCTATCCTCTTCTGTCCGATACGACCTTTCCTTGCCTTCAGCCAAAAAAGCGAAAGATCTTTTTTTATTTTGTCACAACTTTCAATGTCAATTTACTTCTTATTTTTAGAATTTTTGTTTTTTGTTTAATCGCTCGCTCTCGCTCTCTGTAGAGTCAATTATGAGATGTCTCTATAGCTTTTCACTTATTTATTTATATTTTATTGGCTTCCTCGAGATATTTTCCTTCTTGTCGATTCTTTCAGTTTCTGTTTCGTCACCATACAATCAAAATAAGAAGCTTCTGTTTATTTTGACTATTATCAAATTATTATGCACTAGCGTCGACGTAAACTTTTGGTTTATAGGTTTATTTGCCAAGATGAATGGAAAATTTCCTACACTCCTCTTTACTCGTTATCGAATATACGGCATAATACTAACTTGGAGAGAAGACGAGACCTTGAAAATTTTTCTTTTATTTCTCCACACTTTATTCGTTATTTTTCCAAGCGTTCGGCAACTTGATGCAGAATTTTCTTCTTCTTTCCTATGCGATGGCTATTGCAAAAATTTTCATTACTCTCTTAACCGTCCTCTCCGTTTCTCTCATTAATTTTTTTTACTCTATCTTACACTTATACACGAAAATTTACAATATTTTAATAGATTTGAGTATCCAAAAAAGTTTTTTAAGAAGCTTTTCAAAACACCACTCTGAAATAGAATGAAAACATAAATTGAAATGCTCTGAATATTTTTTTTCTCGAGAATTACTTGCTGGGCTCTGAAAACATACAGCAACAACATCACATGTCGAAAATAAACGAAGTTTTTATAATTCGTCGGCTTCTCTGACTGTTTGTGTGAGTGTGGGCTACAGAATCTTTGTGTACATACACAATTCTTTTTCCCTACTGCCTAATGACGTCAGCGTGAAATTCTCTTTAGGCTCCTTCTTCCTACAAGCCAAATGCTGAAAAGTATTGATAGAAATGTGGCAAGTGTGCATACTTGAGTCGAGCAAAAAAATCATTTCATATTGAACAACTGTGCTTTTTCATCCTATTTATGTGTCAAAAAGGAAGGGAAAGAAAGCAAAAATCTATTCCTGATGAATTGAGGCGATATTCATAAAAAAAAGAGATGAAAAACAATAACAACACTGACTATATCCAGATGACGTCAATGAAGATTTCGATATTATTATTTCCAGATTGTTTTCACATCGCGCGATTGAAATGAGTATAAAGAAGAAGAAATAATATTAAGGCATGATGTCGCAAATTGACATTTATCCATGTAGTGATATGAAAAAGATTTTGCTAATGACATGAGCATACATAATTTACAAATAGATGAATTTTCGTGTGACATACGCACATTGACGAGGCAATCGAGTATACAAATTGAAGTTAAGCCCAATCAAAATAATAATAATAATGATGAGAAGATAGGAATTAATTAAATGCTTCATTTCCTCTCGTGATAATGTTTGTGCGGATGTAATGGCTCTTTCATTCACGTAATATCCACTTATTTACATGAATATGAGAGAAAAACAAAAAATAAACGTGAATGAGTATGGAGAAAGAGCTTAATTCAATTAACCAGCTGATGGATGCAGCAACAAATTTTTCTCATATGATCAATTCATGTAAAATATTCCACTCATGCTATGGATTTTTTTTTCCAAAGCAGTTTAACTTGGTTGCTGTTGAACTGATTTCACTTTGACTGACTGAGTGCTAGCTATTGACATGCTATATACACAACAGTTTTTGCATTCTCAACAAGAGATATCGAAAGAGTTTTCTTTTCTGTTTTACAATCGAACGAACCATATTCCATAATCATAATTCCAAGTTTAAAAAAACATCGCTTTATTTAACAGCATCTCGTGACTTCTCTACCGCCATTAGAATCACACGACATAAAATACAGCACCGAAGCACAGCAGAGAAGAAAATAATTTAAAACACATAAATCATTTTGAGAAGCACATATCCGTTTTTAAATAAAATGGGAAATAACACAATAATACAGTGACAATTGAAAATTTCACAGAACATATACATAATTCTATCTGTCTCTCGTGTACACACTGGAAGTGTTGCAAAATTTTGTCACGTGAATTTTTTGAGGCAGGTCAGGGAATTTTTCACTAGCTGAAATACAAGTTGTTTTTCTCTAAATCAGACACGACACACAAACGACGTATGACTCAAAATATTGATGTCTGTGTGTTTTATATTTTTTTGATGCAATATTGAGATTATTATTTTTGGGTTTTGATTTGCAGCGAAACTGGGTAGACATAAAAGTTTGTCGGTTGAAAATTTGCATGCAGTCTGATTATTAATAAAGAAATAATCGCGAGTATCATGCAATGCATTTCTAATTGAATTTTAGATACTCATTTTAATTTTTTACGATGCAGTACTAATTTGTAGGTCAATTTAGAATGTGATAACTCGACGTAATCAACGTGGAAAGCTTTGTCGTTATATTCTAGGCTGATTCGAAGAAATACATTAAATAATTGATATCTATTATAGAAAATTTAACATCTGATCCCGATAGCTAACCAAATCTATGACTTATATCCACTATAACCGGAGAATACCCCAATAAACTCACCTGCTACATACATTTTATCTTGCTTGCTTGTTTGGCTTTTATTTCTTCACAATATGTTATCAATAAATAAGAGTTTTATGAGACTAGGTAAGTAGACCATAATGTGACATAAATATACATGTATACATTATATATTGGGAGGAATGATTCTTAAAATTTCACAATGATAAGCAAAATTATCATAAATAATGTTACGATCGATAACATGAATATGCAGTACATTTTTCGGTTTGCACGTTGATATCTCTCGGCCTTTTGAAGCTGTTTGTAGCCTTCATACACTTTTGTCTGTGTTGATTCAATATTATAATCGATTCTATCTAATACAGTGCCTTGCTCTTCGACTAAATTTGAGAGATCCTTGTAAATTTGATTGAGATCGACGATTGATTTAACTATAGTCATAACTTCCTTTTCTCTTGCTTCTACTACTTTTGTATTGTCTATTTCGAATTTTAGTAACTGCTGTTGACCGAACTTTTGATTCGGTTTAATTTGGAAATATTCATCTAGTCGATCGTCATTATCTAAATCGTCTAATTGACTTTGATTAAATGTGGTCGATGCTGTTGGTTTTAAGAAATTGTCAAATGAGTCAACGGAAGTTCTGTCAGTTCCATTTCCATTAAAATTAAGAGAATCAAAAAAGTCATTCGTATATTCTCCCATCTGATTAATTTGCTTTAAGTAACAGTTCTGTTCACTTCTAAAATTAGCTGTTTGATTCTGGAGTGTAAAGATGAGTCCTCTCACGATATTCTCAATTAATTTCCTCTCAAGTGCACTACTTGTAGAATATTGATGAGATTTGATGACTAAGATATTCTTATGTGCTATTCCTATCAACTTTGCAATCTCTTGTCCTAATTGTTCCATCATAATCTCATCGTCACTCTTCTCCACGAAATCTGGACGTAAAAGTTTCTTATGAAGCACTTCCAGTTCCTGCTGCTTTGTGGCTATCTTCGATATTGTATATTTTGTATTTTCAACTGTATCTGCCCAAATTGGTGGAGACACGTACTCATCATTCAATTCTACTTCTTCGTCAGATCCTGAATTCTTTCTCTTTAAAAGTCGTTCACTATCGCCTCCTCGCTGGATTATTAAAATAAGGAGAAATTTAAAATTTGCTGTAATTAATAAAAAGAAAAACATCTGGAACTTACTGAAAAATTAGTATTTCTATAGCTATGGGAGTTTCTCATTAATGAAAACAGCTCTGTCAAGTATCTTGTTGCCATTTTATGGAATAGTATCGTTAATCACAGAAAATAATAAGTTAAAGCAGTTAATTTACGTATAAAAAGGACAAATTTATAAATTTTCCAATATTTATTATTTGGAAAAATTATCCAACGTTAGTGAAGTGTGCTTCGATTTGTAAACAATCATTTAATTTGTGTTATTGATTGCATGATTTTACTAAAGAACACCAGCTGTGACTGAAATATTAAGCTATTAATTAGATTTAATTGAAGCTATACTCAAAAAATCTTTAAATAACAGTAAATAGCTCAAGATCAATTTGGTAATTTTCGATTAGATACAAAGTTCAATTCTCCTGACTGTCCAATTTTCCAATGTTTACATCATCCAGTGAAATTAGTAATTTTAAAGAAGACAATACGAAATTAATGTTTTTAAATATTTTAACTAGTTTAAGAAGCAGGATATTGCTTTTTTCGATTATATTTTGATACAACAATCTACAAAAAACTGAAAGATCAACAAATTATTAAGGAAACTGCTAGAAATCACGATTTATTTTCACATCTTTAAAATTGCAATCTCTTATTCATCAATTTGAATTAATCCAGCTGAGTTAATTGAGATATAATACGAAAATGGATGTACAAGCGCTTGTCAATACACCATTCATTAGGATTCGAGTGAGTATTTTATTATGCTTTGGATGAAGAAGAAGACAGACATTTTTATTATATCACTTATTCAGCTAATTAAGAGTTTTACAATGTTAACAAAGAAGTTATCTAAGTTTACGAGACACAGATCTTTGAACTCTGACTCATAGAATATTCGATGCTTCGTTATCTGTTCATGTCAGCTCATGAAATTTTATAAATAGGCCTTTTAAGATGCGATAAATAGCACATCACAAATACTTTAAAATTAAGAATGTGAAAATTGGTTTCTGAATGTTTCATACTCTACCCACATACACTTTCCATATAAGTCTTCTTTGCAACTTCCATTGACCGCAGTCATTGAAAAAAATGTCTATGGATTGCATAACAATTCTGCTTTATGCTTCATTACTTATGAAATTTGATATTCAATGTTTTCAAAAATTATTCCTTTTTCTTACAGATTGTTGCCTTTGTGCATTTTACCTTGATTGTAAATGCCTTATTGGGACATTGGGCACCTTCTGCATATTTATTCTACAACATTTTATTTATGGTTTCATTAATGTGGTCTATACATTCGAGGGAATCTACAGATGCCATACAATGCGTAAGTTATATGCTAACAATCATCAAACATAATAAAGTATCGAATTCTTAATTACATTTTTAGGCTGCAGCAATAGATTTTTCGTCATTCTTCTTCGATCTTATTCTCATCGTCTCATTTTTCCCAAGTACAGGCGGTATTTGGAGTGTGATATTTGCCGTTTTCAACATGATTGCTCGTCCATTCTCTTTGATACTCCTACACAAAGAATTAGTCGATAGAGGCGGTGATTTTGTGCTTGTTAATGTTGTAACTCAACCAAATAATGCTAGAACACCGAGAAATTATCAAGACATTGACGGTTCACGCCCAACACCACCACAAAGCAATTCTGCACAATCGAATATAAGCAATCTCTTTTAAAGGTTGATTATTACTTCTAGTTATGTCCAATCTAAGTGTCTAAAATGTTGTCCAGTGATAATCAAGTTTAACATACAAAGATAATAAGTTTCAGGATTTTTAAAAAGGCAACTCCTGAAATTATTTGTGTCAAGCTTCTACATTAATTTGAATTTTAAGATGCATTATATATTTTTAAAAGGATGTTATCTGTGGACCAGTTTATCTACTATTGACTGTAAAATTTTTATAATTGTCTCGAATATTTCCTATTTTTATACTAAGATCTCTCAACTTTTAAATACTTTTCTGCATTTTTATGAATTCCATTTCCTTGATATTCTTTACACTTTGATGTCCATAATTTCTATTCATCTTGCTTTATATAAGTTTTTGAAATGCTTTCTTGTTTGAATTTGGTTTGATTAGTTTGAAACATTGCAGGAAGTCATTAAATCGGAAGTTTTATCTTTTTGTATTTAATATCCTGTATACAATTATAGTTCGATTACAATTGAGCACAAAAGTTATTTTTATCTAGATCAAAATACATAAATTGTCCAAGCATAAGAGTTCTATCAAAAAAAATTACATTTGATTTTTTATGAATCTTTTCATTTATTGCCAAACAGTTGTACTTTAATCAAAAAAGGAAATCTTGTAATTGGTGAGAGATGGCCTTGCTATACTGTAACTATATCATTATCAATATAAAAGGTTGAATACAACATGATATCTAAAAACAGAATTTTAATAATATTAAAATTATCATTTCTATGTCGTGTATGAGGACACTTTATGCATTTAATCTGGATATTCCATTTTAAAAACTTTCTCATTTCCTGGAACTAAAACTTCAATTTCCCGTCCTTTTTTAAATTTCCTTAATTATCATCCTTTACATCTCCAGAATTGCTAACGAATATGCAATAAAAAGTCATGATTATTATTTATTTATTATGGAAAAATTGTTATTCTCACAAAATAAAATGATTTGTTATTAATATTATAATTTAAACAAAATAAAATGTAACAATCTACAAAAATTATTATCTCAATGAATGTGTTTATTGACTCGTGTTGAGGAATTCTCTCTCATTTTTGAGATAGTCGAACGTAGCATATCAAATTTCAGTATAGAATATTCCTAGCACCGATTTACATTTCTTTATTTATGACTTTAGTTTAACAAAATTTTGTGGATCGATAAAGTAAATTTATTGCTTAATAAATAATTATGGATTTTCAAATTGGAATACCGCATTCAAGAATCTTTGTGAGTATTTATAACAAGAATCATTAAATTTCTTTTCTATGCAAATTGTTGCTCTTATCTTTTGAGACTTTTTCTTACTGTATGAGTCATTAAAACTGAATATTTAATTTCTAGCAAATAGCCGCAATACACTTTGTGCTGATGGTAAATGCAATGTTTACATTGCGAACTATTGCAGCTTATGAATTTTACAATATTCTGTTCTTCATCTCATTGTTTTGGTCAATTAAGGAAAAGGAAGCAACGGAACCTGTTAATGTTGTAAGTTTCTCTTTCTCTCAATCTTTCTCAATCAGTTGATTGCCTGTGCACTTTTGATCTTGTAAATCAAATAATCACATTGTGAAATGTATAAACTGTAAATTTTTCATTTAAAGTATTCAATCTTGCTCAATCTTGCTTAATTAAAGATCAGAATACGATTAATCAGTACTTACAGACTGTCCTCTCTTATTTTGTGACAAAATTTGCAGTCAAAAAAAGTGTGAGCAGAAAGTTCACTTAGAAAGCCCTTAAGAATTTTGTGTGAAGTAAAGCTTGACTTAAGTCGACTATTTCATACAAAACCAATGTCAGATGGCTAAGAAACCAGGCAGAAGATCCTTGAGAAATTCTTGCTAGTACACAAACTGCAGCTCAATGTTTCAATCTCAACATTCTCAGACGTAAATTTCTACACAGACGTGATTTGTCAACAATGCCTTACCTAATCCATAAAACCGTCAAAATCCCTCAATCATTGAATTTTCATCACACATGTCGTACGAAGAACTAATCAACCAATAACATTCTCACATTTTACAGGCCTACGCCATAAATTTCGCATCAATATTCTTCGACATAGCTGTTTGCTTTGCAATCGACACTAACAATTGGGCACTAGCTTTCATTCTTCTCAACATGATTTTTCGTGTGTTTTCACTAAAACAGATTTACGAAGAAATGATAGCACGTGGTGGTGAACCAGCAAATATAGGAATTGTATGAGACTCACAGCATCAAGTTACAAAAGAATATAAAGACGAATAATACTTAACTGTACATAAAAGAAGCTTTATTATCTAATTATCGTAAATTTAAAATCACATTCACAATGGTTTATTATTTCGCTCGTTAACTCTAAGACAATAAATTAAAAAAATGAGTTTATTTACATTTAACAGGAGATATTCATTTCTAAAAGCCATCCTTTGCCTTTCGGAACTTCATCTTTCCATTTGGTCCTTCCACAACGCAAGGCACTTGGACGAGATTAAAATAGATTGTACCCATAAGTTGAGCAGTCGGAGTATTTGTTTTCTTAAGACACTCAAACAATAAATCGTCACATACACAATGAGATTTTGTGTAAATTGAGTTATTTGTAATATTATAGCGTGTCTGGTAGGCACGTACTTTGATTGGGCAAATGTCATGATCTGTAAAAAAAAAATCGAAAAGCGTCAGCAAAAAAAAAGTTTCTCATTTAAATTCTAGAAAAGGTTTTACCTCTACAGCATCTATCCATGTCCTTTTCTTCGCCTAAATCATGAAAATTCTTTGCTATATCTCCAGTTCCACACCATTTTGTTCCAGGAAATACACCAGATAACAACGAAAATGGATTGCCTGATAAAATTCCTCGATTTTCATTTTCAGGCGATTTATCAGCAATTGGAGCATCGCCTTGAACATTCTCATCTTGTTCATTATCTGTCAAGTCACTGTTTCTCTCATAAAGTGCAGCAACTTCTGATGCTCTTCTCTTTGGTGCTGTTCTATGCTTTTCCACTTGATTACATTGTTGCATCAATTTGAGCATATCACCAAAACCAATTTTTAATGGTCGATTGATTCTTGATAACTTTCCCATGAGAATCTTTCCCTCTTCGTCATTGCTTTAGTTGGTTTGGGATGAGTAAAATAAGAATTAGAAGTGTTATTCAACAGATAAGTCAATCAAAGTAAATGTTTGAGGAAATTGCATTTTTATGAGTCATGTTGTAGGCAAGGAACACTGTTTATTTCATTTTTTCGGGAAAATGTTCGGAACTAACCGCAAATCATTGACAATCAAATTCTAAACCTTGAAAATCAATATCCATAGAACTCTTCACGTAAAATTCTACAATTACTCATCGTGGCTCATTTAAAAACTCAGTCAGCAAAACACTCGTACCATACTCACGGGAAAAGAGCAATTAAGTCATTATAATAAAAACTCGTATGTAAACAAAATTGACTTTTTATGGTTATTATGTAAGCGGATAGAACTGTGCATATATACTTAGCATTTATTGCATTACATGCATCTTAAACTCATAATGGTCATTTTTATAATAGAACAAATGTGAGAATGAAGGAAATTAAAAAAGTTATTGTAATAGCTGGTTTTAATTAAAAGCTCTAGTCGGAGATCGTTGCGTGCTTCTTCACTGGAACGTAATTAAAGAAACATTAGAAACGTGATTTTCTTTGTAGAAAATTGTTAAGTGATTATGAACATGTTTTTTTTTTGCCGGCAAACATGCTTTTGATTATTTTAATTGCATCGTCTTCATAGATTGCGTGAAAATGATTTAAGTCTGTCTGGGAAGAAATTTATGGATTTAGGAACAAGTAGTATTGGTAAGAGACCTTCGGAACTGCGGTGTTTGTTGGTTGATGTAAATTAATTTTGCAGTTTTTGAGCTGGCTGATTTTACAGCAGTGGAGCGGCTTAATCTGTTTTAAACTTTAAGCTATTGCAAATTTCAATATGTTTATTGACAGACTAGACCTTTTTGCCACACAATGCATGAATTATCATTCTAAATTGCAAATTAATCCAATCATGTATCCAATGTCCATTTGTTATTGATTCCAATGCCAAAACCCTTACTATCCACACTCTAATTAAACTACGGATACCGCAGCACAAGATAATGTTTGATATTCTGCACAGCATTCCAAACCGCAAAAGCTTTTAAGCGGTTAAAAATCAGTATCAACACATTAAATGTTTATGACTATTAGCGTACTCTCAATGTTCGCATGAACTTGGCCTAAATAAATTATAAATCAATGTTTCATGCCCAGATCGGAAATTTGTGTGACATAGTTATATCGATGATTTTTGGTCTAGTGCCAATTTTTTTCTTGTCATCCAGCAAAGAATTTAAAAGCCATGGGAAAAAGTTTTTTGAAAGAAGAAATAAAAAATTTGAAAAGGCTCGGAAAGGAAATTTTCTCAACTCAGCAACATTATGCTGCATCATTAATATCCGTACGATATTTCTCATATTTTATTGAGCATGCAAAAAAATATTGATATATTAAAGCTATATTGATCCATAGAGCGAGAAATGCTCATGCTTCATAAGAGAAACTTTCCCTTGGATGTGATATCGTTTTAATAATTATTTGTGACTCTATCGAACCTCCCATGTGGCATAAAATGGAATTAATGCAGCATATATCATACCATAATCATTACATACATTACGATGTATTATTTGCTTTTAACATGGAGTCATTAGAAGGAAACACGATTGCTTGTTTAGTGACTGTGTAAAGCAAAAACGTTTTGTGTGCAGTTTCACCTTTAATGTCTATTTATCTTTACACCATTCGAGCGCACATTTTCTTCTCATCTGTTGTCTACATTTTAATGCATATTAACTTTATTGGAATGGCACTTTAAATGGAGATTTTCGGGTTGAACTGCTGCTTCTTTACGTGAAAAAAGTTAAATTTTTTTGTGGATCTTGGAAATTCTTTAATTTAGTCACTTAAATCCTTTTAGACCCCCGTAACCCCTAACAGATCTCCTATGGGCCGTACACTTATTACGTAACGCGAAAAACGCCCCCCCCCCCCCCTCGTAACAAAATTTGTATGAAAAAAAATTTATTTTGTTTGAACCGTAACAAAATCTTAGACACCCCTCTCCCCTAAAAGCGTTAAGTAATAAGTAACAGACCTCATAAGGTTAAGAATCAAAGATCTAAAGCCTTCACTGCCACTTAATTGTGAATATTTTTTTATAGGTTTAAAAGATCAGAAAGCTTATTAAATGACACAACATAGACCTTGTCTGATTCCGATTTGTTTTGACCACAGGTAAGTGATCATTACTCAGTAAATTGAATGATCTCACATGTGATTTATTCGTTGTTTAAATGGAGTGATCTGCAATGTCATTGACATGTAAAATGACCATCATTTGAGATTAATTTTTTTTTCATTGAACTATAAAGCTGGTCAATCACCACAAAAAAAATGCTCTTCAGTTCCTTTCATACTAAGCATATTCCCAACTTGCACATCTATCTCAAGTTCCATTAATCAGACTAATTTATACCAAATGTAAGTATTATTTGTCGATTAATTGTATTAAAGTGAAAAATGAAAGTTAATTTATGTTCAATTGGAAGGTTTGCAGTTCATTATGTGTTAAATGGATTTGCCTGAATTCATCAGTCGTGACTACGTTTTTGTACTCAAAATAGAATTGAAACGGAATTACCACAATTTGCAAAAACTACGCAGAATGACAAGCAAAAAAAGACTTTCCGCGTATTGAGTTCATGATTCAATTGGTAGCGCTCTGACCTCTTACGGATAATACGATTATTGCAGTTCCTCAAATAGCGAAAGTAATCAATAATATACTTACTAGATCTCTATGAGCTCACAGCTTAATAGGAGTTTCTCGGGACCCAATTCCACAATGGCAATTGTCTGATCATTATAGTAAATCATTCTTAATGAATCAGCTGCCAGTCGTCGACCACTGGAAATAAATAAATGTTTAAAACAAATATTATTAAATTTTGCATAAAATTATCATAATCTTTAAAAGGTTCAATGGCCGACTTTTAAAGTAAATTGTAGCTTTTATGATCCGTAGGCATTGAAACTTTTTATGAGCTGTAAATTGCTACTTTTATCACATCAAACCAGTTTGTCTTCAACACAGGTTACGCAATTTTTCTTAAAAGTTAATAACTTTCAATAGCGATGATTGCAGTGGCATTATCTTAATTGGTAATAAATAATATCCATGAAATACTGATGATGCAAAAATGCGAGAAGTAAAGTCACTGTTGCATGAAGCACAGACAACTTGAGATATAATAAGAAAATATTTTGTGTTCATTGAATATTTTATGTTGGGTGCTTTCATGCTTAAAAAGCATTTTACATTCTTTTGTAGATGATACTTTGATCTGTAGGTCTAGGTTGGTCATTGACTTTTTAATTTGAATTATTTTGCATTGCTTTTGTACCCAAATCATGTCCATAATTTTAATAGAATGTGATGACTTGAAACTTCAGCATTTTGTTTCGGTTTAAGATTATCTATAGATTATAAGAATTCAATTTAATTAAACATAGCTTAAGCTTAGATTCTAGCCTTCATTCAAAACCTTCAGAAAATTATCAAGCATGTGCAAAAGTTGTCGCTGCTGGAAAAACAGCATAAATTACATCTCATTACAACATTTTACACCATTCAATCATCTGCCAAAATTAAATTATTTTCCAGTTCTTCATTCACAAAAACAGACTTTCTGACAAGTCATATCACAATGTCGTAGACATTGAACAAAGTAAAACAATATCCAATGAACTGCATATTCTGTCAAAATAATCAACTTGTTATAAAGCACAGAATTATGTTTTCGATGACATTTGAACATATTATTTGGATTTTACAATTACATGCTGCATAAATTAATGAGAATGTAGTTGCATCGAATTAATTAAGCTTAATTTGATACAATAGAACAATACAGCTAAATGTCATTTGAGTACTGTATGTAAATTTAATGAATTTTTATCGAGATTTTACGGCAACAAATTTCTAGAAATAAATAAAACCTTAATTGCTGTAAAATAGCTGAATAATGTGCGATTTATCATTAATGGAATTATCTAGAGATTTAATCGGCTGGATGTTTACTACTGGATGATATCGACTTGTTACTAGATGAAGGCTGTAGATTGTCGGAAGCTGATGTTTTTGGAAGAGATTATTTAAAAATGCCGGCCGGCTAATGAAGAATTTTGAAACAAAGGATCTTAAGCATGTGACTATGCTGAAGTTTAATAGACAAAATATACCAATTGCTGTTGTATAAGCACATCAAAGAAATTTACAGAACTCAGTTTATTCAATTTTCTCAGCCCATTTGACCTTGATTTTTCCATTCCAACCTGACAATATTGACAGTTTTATAAAAAATACAACCCTAACAATGAAATATTACATTGAGTAAATTTTGAATAATTGATCTTATGTTGATATGTAACATTTAAGTTATTTACACCCCCCCCAAAAAAAATTCTATAAAATATTCAAAAGGTATTCCACATACAGCTTGACATATTATTCCTTCACCATGTGTCAACCGTAATCAAAACACTTTTCATGAGATTTCCATTTTTATAGTAGTCACAATTTACTCATAAGTTCATAAAATATTAATTCGTATAAAAAGTTTATCACACATCAGACAATTTAATGTTTTTTTATTTCAAAAAAAAATGGAACCCATTCCCATATGTAAATCCACAGCTATACGTTCCAAATCGAAAAGCTACAAAATACTTTTTATTATAGCTATAAAACTATCATTATTACTAATTTCCTCAAAATCGATAGTAGCTGAATATGAAAGAGTCATTTAAAAAAATTAAGTGATCGCTCATGTGCTTCTCACTTTCATAACGGATGTAGTTGATTTTTTTGAAGCTGTTTTGGAGATGTAATTGTGGATCAATGGTCAATTTGTCTTATTTGTTTAACTGGTTTGATGATTAACACATGTTTTAGTTCAGTGGAGTTTTAAAAACCAGCTCTAGAGTCATTTTAACATCAGACGGCAGACTAAAGCAGCACTAAGGCTCTAATCGGATAAAAAAAGTAGCTTGAAGTTCGAACCGGTTCATTACGAGTCTACAAAGAACCCACAACGCTAGTTTTGACTACTTTATATTATCAGAACTAGAAATGCGCTTTAACCATCTCAAAAGACTTTACAACTTGCATTTCTTTTTCTCCTAAACGAGTATAAATGATGTAAAACGACACTAAATACAAGAATATGATCCGCATGTATATGTAAGAAATAACAGTTAATGCTCATATTCATTTTAAAGTGAGCTATAAAAAAATTTTGCGGAAGGTTATGGATGAGAACGGAAAGATTGAGGTTGAAATGATTGTTATTACCAATTAGCACAGCATAATCACTTTTCATTACTTACCTATATGATTTCATTGCCTCCGTTTGTCGTTTCTCTATGTACTGTTGAAATGTCGAGAATGACGGAAAGCTGAATTGTAAAGACTGAGGCAGTGAGAATGGCAATGTTGGCTTGCAGTTGGAAATTGTAAATAGCGCACTCAAGAGTATAAAGATTAATCTCTTAACGCGTTGTCGAGATACTCGTGGTGACATTTTTCTCTCTCTCTCTCTGTCTGTTTATTTATGTATGACGTCAATGAAAAATTTCTTCTGGAGCTATGATTTCACTCTCTTTTATGATGTCGACAGATGATTTACACGGAATATGTATCTTAATTAACCTCAATATTTATGCAGAAATTTATTAAACTTCCTTTTTCGTTCACTTCTTTCTGTTGCTTTTAAAATGTTCAACACACTATGAACTTTTACTGCAATCGCATGCAATTTTTGTAACTGCGAGAAAATAAAGTTGTTGCGTAAGTTAACCGGAATCAATAATCAATTCTCTTCTTTACAGTGAAAATAATAAAAAAACATTCCAATTGAATTATGAATCAGTATTTTCAAGACAATCAGTTCGATTGAAATTCCAGAAGAATACCGTACTCTTGATTGTGTTTTACAATGAATAAATGTGTAATCGAGGTGTGGTCACTTTAGATTGTAGAATGTTAATTTTATTTTTTGATTGGAAGCAATTGGATTAAGGTGAAGCTACAATACTTTAAGCTTGGACAAATTCAGATTCAAGGTTTAAGGCCCTTTCATACCTGCCATCACAGCCAAACGACAACATCATTATCTGGCAATGCTCCACAAAAAAAGACCCCCCAAACTGCCCCAAACTGTCTCATCTGCTCGATTTTAACATATTTTATTTCACTATCAGATTTGACCTAACCCAAATCCATAAATTAAATACCATCAATATGTGCATGAACTTATCATAACCAAAAAACCTGAATTACCATTTATATTAACAAAAAAATTCTTCTGAAAGCAACAAGCTTGATTACATAATAAATTATGCAATAAACTACAACAAAAAAATCTGCACCAGAAATAAATATTTTCAGAGTGACTAAGCCGCGAATTAATGCAAAATAATAAACACGTACATGTTTCGATTTTAATAGCATGTTCTGGACTTAAAAACGATTCAAATGAAATGAAAAATTAAATTCAAAATCGAATCTCCTGAATAATATATTTAATTTTATGATATGTGCTGAAAGCGTCAGTCAGCTATTAATTTTCCCACAGCAATTTCACTTCTTGTGGCTTGTTTCTGTTCCTTCTTTCTCTTTTTTCCATTTTTTGTTTTGGTTCTGTATGAGTTGAGCTTAGAAATTTATTGAAAGTCTTTTTCATGTCTCATAATTTAATTTAAAATTCATGAGCATACATATTCTTTCTCGTAGCATGCGACCATGGCTATTATTGCTTCTGTTTGGTATGTTTAATATAAGCTTCAGCATTTGAAGGTCATTTTCAATTTAATTGCAAAATTTAAGCATGCAAAATTCAAGAGAACTAAAGGAAATTATTCAAATCTGACCTGCTAGGGTAAACTTCAAATGATCTTAGTCAATTCATATTAAAGCTGATTCATCCAGTAATCTTAAAAGTAATTAAGTCGTCATAACAATTAGTTCAATCAAGTTGAATGCAAAGTGATTAATATTTTTTTGAGAAGCAATTTTCAATTAGATTTTAATAATCTGGAGAACTCAATTTAAATTAGTGTTAATCACGTTCAACAAAGGCTTTATGAACTAAAATGGGATTAATACAATGGATTCTAAATGTTTGAATAATTAACCGCAAAGCCTAATTCTTAAATAATTTATGGAGTACAGATTTAATTGAAGAATAATGAACTTTGAAGGATTATTGAGCTTAGGTGTGTTTTGGGATTCGTCCATTGCTGCAGTAACCTTAATTTGAGAAAGATTGATAGCTAAACTTCCTTAAAGATCATCAATTATCTATATCATATCCATAAATCATCATATTATGTAATATATTTTCAGTGCATCTAAATCAATAAATAAATTGACATTTGGGAAATTGTGCAGCTGTCAATATTCATGAGAACATTACAAGCTGATAAACATTGCATAAGTTAAAAATATCAAAGCCATAATCAGAAACTCAATTATCGAAGACCTTAGGTGGTCTGCCATGTAATCAAATGACATAAAGTCAATACAATCTTTTTTGATTACCTTAGTTGAAATGATTACTGCTTGAAATTGTTTTTTACTTATTTATTCTGTAATGCAATGTGGTCAAAAGTACTGCAAGTATACAATATATAGCAATTGAAAAAGCTTGTGGCTTGGACTTTCTGATGGAGAAATTTCCAAAAGAAAAATAAAAAGATTGAAAGTTATTGACGATTGGAGAAATTTCTTGGAAATTTTTAGTATGTTTATTCAGTTGAAGTTAAGATGTTTAACTACATGAATCAGTCTACTCAGAATTACAGTAGTTCAAATTCGTAGAAACTCAGGATTAATCGTTTTACACTAATCCTCTAATGTTTTAATGTCACTGTGTCTTAAAATGGAGTATAAATCTCAATGTCATGTAAGTAATGTAAATCCAGATCAATCTATAAATCTCTTCATATTTAAACATCTAATTCTATCATTTTGATATGCAAAATCATTAAAATTCGAGTTCGATTGACAAAAATTTGCGTTAATATTTGAGTTAATATTTCATTGACGAGTCGCACTAAAGAGTTAAGGTCACACACAAGAAACCATGAATTATTGCACACTCATACTTATTCAAATTAAAACAAATAGCATTTAATTGTATTGCAAAAATTATTATCGAACATCCAACGATAAAATGTTAATTGTCAAATAATTTATGAGTAGAAATTCCAATAATTTATCTATTCTTAAACTTCTTCATTTATTATTTGTAATATCTACACTCCCATAATTCAATTTTCATTGAATTTATTCATGTAATTAATTTATTTTCCAAAAAAAACCACACAATTGGAAGTGAAAATTTAAATCTATATCAATATTTCATTCTTCCTATTATTGGAACTTCAATTGCAGATCGCAATTATATTTTAATTAAAAGCTTTCTATCGTGCTAATAATTTTACTCAATTAATGTGTCGAAAAGCTTTTAATTTTCTTTTGCGAGGAAGCCATAAATTAGACATTCTCAAAGTGATCTAAATTTACTTCTTAATTAGTAGTAAAGCACTCAAAAATAACCCCTGCGAGAATTTAGTTTGAATTTTGAATATTATTCATGCAGCATAGCGAAGTCACTGAGAAGGAGCTTCTAACCAATTGTAGAATAGAGTAATCAAAACTAATCTGAGTCGAACACATAACATTTCTTATTAATTGCTACAAGAAGGAACAATTAAGATCAAATTTTACAGAATGTTTCGAAAATAAATTCTTTAGTCGACCCTTGGTCCGGTTACTCCTAGACATCATATCGTCATAACGTTCTACTCGGGCAGTGAGTCATAATTTGGTGATGATGAGTTGGATTTAAAAATTCCCGTATAGTTCGTATTAACGAAATGACAAATATCAAAAAGGTTTCGCAATATCAATAACAGTCATCCCACTTAATGCCAAACTATTACTTCCAAAACTCTGAATAAATAATCCAATAAATCAGATCAACACCAACCACAAGGGTTAATCACCGATCACCCAAAAAAAGTAAATCTTCTCTTGAAGCTCATCTTCATTTCATTCACAAAAGAAATTTCTAAATTTATTTAAAAACGTTCCAAAAAATAAACTAAACCGATGATGATGCTCCACATAAATGGACGACCAAAAAAAAAGAGAAGATCAAGAATATTTGATAATCGACATGTTAACGAAGAAAAGAAAAAGATCAGTTTGAAATTTTTAATATCACACGATTAGCATTTCTGACCCACATTCTATACACGTCCATTGCATGTTCTTGCAGTCTTTTTTCTGCTTCTCTTTGATTCATGTAATACGCATGTTTTATTCATTGACTGTGCTGTACGCAATCGAGTTTCTTTTCATTTAATTATTAATTCACATCTCGTACTTTTTTTTGCAATTATATGTTAATGATTTTTTTCATGAATTTTGGATTATTTTATTTTTTATTTTCACTGTAAAGGAACTGAGGTTTTGCCGGTGACAGCAAATGAAAGAAAAGAAAGAAATTTCTCTTATTTACACTGCAAATTAAGATATGTTAATTGAGTCACTCGCGATTACAACTCGTTCAAGTTTTGCACAACACAAAAAAATATTATTTCTTCTCACTTGCGCTTATAAGCGCTTATGTCGCTTGATTAATCTACCTAAGCAGATTCGTCTGTACGCTTCGAGTGTTTCGAGACAACTGAAAAAAAGCAAATAATAAAAACAACCGCTGTCTGGCCAATCTCACTCTCTCACTAAATGTTACCTCTATATCTTTCACATATAGATTTTTTGCTTGCTTAAGCATGGCTTGGCGTGCCAAGCAGCAAGAAGAACGTTGAGGCTCGAATGTGAAAAATTATAAACAACAAAATTTCTTGTGCATATGCCTTCCCTCACAATACACACCAGGCAGCTCTCTCTTTATTATTTTTTATTGAAAAAATCTCTTTTTTTATTTTATTTTTCATTTCGTTCAACATTTTTACAGATGAAAAATGCCACTGCTTTTAAGCTAATTAAATTATCTTCATACTTACCAATTTATTTGTTTGAGAGCTTTCAAAACTTATAAAAAATTTATTGGAAAAAAATTGATTTGAGAGAGAATGGAACGCATTTGATTCTCTCTGAGCTGTTGGATGGTGATAATTATTAAATTTGTGGTTTTGTGAAGTTTTAATGACTTTTAGAATTTAGAATTATTTTAAATTCATACCTCTAATTGATAACAACTCTGCCAGTTACAACATCTCTCCTCATCTCCAAAAAGTCTTCGTATTTTGGATCCGTCTCGCTTAAGCCACTGAAGCCACATGAAAGCTTCACCAAGAGGACTGTAAAGTGTTGATCAGGAGAGGATCCAGACTTTGGAACCCCATTTCTCCTTCAATTATGTCATTCAGGACAAAGTGAACCGAAAATGTTGATTCCTCAAGCAACAAAAAAAAAGCACTATTAAAACTTGGATGAAGTTCTGGGAAATATTTTTCATCCAAAATACAAATTTTAAATGAAATAAATCGAGATTTCTCTTTGGAAATAAAATATATATTTTTTAGTCTTGCTATGTTGATCGCGTATAGTATCGAAAAGACATCGACTTTTTTTTTGTGTGTGTGTTTGTCGCCACTGTTTATTTTATTGAATTTTTCTTTTCTTCGCTTATAATTCAGTTAAATATACATGAGTTAGAGACATTCATCGCTGCATTATGAATAATTAATGAATATGAACGATAAATGTACGAGTCAGAAAGAGCAGTTGGGACTTTAAAGCTAATTGTTTTAAAACTTGGAGATTTTTAAATCAATCAATTGTCCTGTAAATTATAAATGACGTAATACAAGGAAGTTTCATTGAGAATTTGCAATAAATGTGATTCTGAATGAAATTACTTGTTGTTTTTATTTATTCAGCAAAAACTTTTGTAATAAATCGCACTTAGTCAACTGATGTTAATTTAGTATAGCTGACATTTTGATTCATGAGATTTATTTTTTATATTGTCTGTTTAAATAAGAAATCTTGTGAGCTGAGCAAGTATGAGTATTGATAAATTGGTAATAAGTTAAAGACTCAAAAGGACAATGCCTATAGATAGATAGCTTCATTTGGTAAATTTCTACCTCAAAGATTTCTAGAGTATTTCGTATAGTTTCATATTAATTCTTTCATCTATTTTATGTCGTTCGAAACTTTGGGAATTACCAAAATCAACACCATTTGAAGTCTCCAAACAAAATTGAATCCGAACGAGTTCAAATCTGATTACAATCAATAAATGTCAGCAGTAAGTCATTGTTTTATTAAATCTTTATTTAAAAATCTACCAATTAAATCCAAAATTATTTAAAGAGGCGCAATGGAATTGAAAACTAGAAACAACAATTTTTTGAAAATTAATTCCACCATAATAACCGTGCTCTGAACCGTTTTGAAAACATCATCAATATCATCAACGAAAATTCTATAAATAAAAATAGAAATTGATTTTATTGACTGACCAAATTATCGAGTCGAGATAATTGAATGAAATTTGATGAAATTATTGATTTAATTTGACGACAATTAATTTTATGTAAATGAAATTTGACATGGCAATAAAATCATAATTAAATTGAGTTAATTATTAATGTACGCATATTAACATACGTGATGACAGTGGAGTGATTCACAAATATTGTCAAAACAAACGGGAACCAAACATATGTAAAGCTGCTCATATTATGTGTACTTTACGGATAATGTTGGATTTTATTATTCTTTATGGAATTTTATAGATTAATAACGCACAGTCTTTTCAATTTTTAATGCATATTTAATCGAAGTTTTCTGGATGTACAAAAGGGTAAATTATTCATTAAGATATCCATAATTCATCTGCCGTACTTTTGTAGTGCTTTTCATTTTTAATAAGTCAATTACACAACAGTACATAAAAAAAAAGTTCTAGTGTGTTCAAAACTTGAAAATTCAAGTCATCCTTCAGATGAATAATAAATGGATAATAGTTGAACGTTTGCGGATATAAAAAAGGAATAAGGAAATGATAACTTAACATATATTGTTAGTAAATGAATAAATAATTACGAAGAATATATGGCATGAATCACAGATGATTGTTAAATATTTATATAGATTCTATTGCATAAGTTCTATACAGGACGATGATACGAGTAGACAAAACAGAGCTTCAGACTTGTTGCTATGGGATCCTTAAAGAAACTAGATTTTCAAATTATAAAACTTGGGTTTGTTTTAGTTCTATTGAACAAGAAGAAATACTTTTACACTGTCTAAGCTATTAAAGCCGAATTTTGTTTATGAATCATCAATCATGATTGCCACATCAAAAAATCTATAACCTAGTTCATTTTAATTATATTAAACCATTTTCATTAATTACTTCTTAATCTTAATTCATCGAATATAATTTAGAAACATCAAAATTTCGATTGGTTAATGTCATTTTAATTATAAATCCAAATTCAAAACAACCCCAATAATGTTGTGCTTCCATTTCCAAATTAAACAAATCAATTTACCTCTAATTTGTCATTTACGCTAAATTAAACCATTCAAAATTAACTTCGTGCCTGAATGGTTTTAACAAATAATAGAAAAATCGATTAACGTCATTAACATTGAACGACTTGATGTCATTCAACAGAAGCTGATGATTGTTATTATGTTCATAATTTTTTGTTATCTTTAATCTAATTAGCAAAATGTGCCTGATATCACGTAATTTTCTCAAGTTTCAGGCAATTAAAAAATGATAAGTTTAAAACAAAAGTCACGCAATTTACAAGCATCGAGCTAATTCTATTCAACAGGTTGTTATACAAAAAAAGTCAAAATGTACACACAATAAATTTGTCATAACATAAGCCACATTACATTGGCATAGAATAAATTAAAGGGAGGAAAAGTTAAGTGAGATGTAAAGTTCATTGTCAGTTAAATATTTCCTATGCGGTTTTCATTGTTAACTTAACTGTTTGAAACAATACTTCCATTATGTCGAATTTTCACTTTCTCTCAGTTCTCTCACCATTTCTTTCTTCATGACTTCATCCAAACCATTCAGTTTTGAGAAATTAAAATGAATAAAACATTTATTATTGTGTACTGTTACAGATCTATTCAATTACATTTAGCGCATTTATCATGAGCGATTGATATATAATTAAATGTCGTGATCATAGTTAATTGAGCAAAATGACTACGAGGTGGACTATTGAGATGTAATTAAATTTCTATCTTTACTTGTGAGAATCTTGAGATATGAAACTATTTGCAATCTTATTCTTAAAACTTGTAATTATTGCCCAGAATCATTTAATTATAAATAAGTCTTTAAATTGTTATTTTCTACGTATAATTCAGCTGATCTCTTGTTACAAATTGTTTTTTAAATTAGATACAAAGCCAACAGCCAGCCTTTATAAAGACAGAGTCGGAATATTTATGGAACGTTCAAATCACTTGTAAAATCAAAGATCTTAGGGGCCATTCACTTATTACGTAACGCTTTTAGGGGGGGAGGGGGGTCTAAGATTTTGTTACGGTTCAAACAAGGAAATTTTTTTTCATACAAATTTTGTTACGAGGGGGGGGGGTCTAAAAAGTCATTTTTTCGCGTTACGTAAGTTATATTCAATTCCAAAAAAATCAAAAGTTTAAGTAAATTCCAAATGTCTGTAAAAGATATATAATAGATGTTTCTTTGATCTTAGCATTGGTCCGACAATTTTCAAAACATCTTAATTTTCTGAAAATACGGATATTCTAATATTAATTTTTTTTGCACCTGTTCTAGTTTTGCATGAGTATTGATCCATTAATACTATGCAGGATTCTAGGAATAGTTTGAAACAATGTATATATCTGATTTTAGATTGATACTTTGTCATTACTACCGATCAGAAGTATCATAAACTGTAATTGACTCAAAAAGTATTTAAATTCGAATGCTTTCTCATATTTGAATTAATTTAAACACAGCAGTGCATTTTAACAAGATTTCTGTTTCTGAAGCATACATCAGAAGTGAGGAGAGTGATGAAGACATACATTTGAATTTTCAAAACGTCTCAATGTAATTTTATATCATGCTGACTGGAATCGCGATTGCTTTTATTGCCTTAATCATCGAAATGGTAATTTTTCACCTTAAAAAATGGACAGAAGCTCGTAAAAGGAAATATATGTTAAAAATTAATAAAACCAAAAGTTTCATAAGACAACGAGAAGTCCTGCTACCTTTAAAACAAGGAACAAAACGTTGGAATAAGCAGATAAATAGAATAGTTCAAGTGGTTCCCAATAGGTACTTGGTAACAGTAGCAAAGCAGGATATGGAGAATCACACAGCTCAGTGAAAAGTAAAACTTAATCCAGGCCTTTATCTTACTTATATTCCTCTGTTGAATTGATATGAATGGAAGCACTGCAATTTGTCTATCTATTCCTGAACTTCTATCACTACACGTGTTAATGATAAGCCAAATAAAATGTATAGTAGTTAAGATAATCTAAATTGTCAGTTGGTCATTCAAGATATTCAAAGAGTTGATTAGGTTTGTCAGGTGCTTAATAGACAACAATTTTTCAACAAGGAATAAAAGATGTTTCGTTGAATATTGAATTTATCATTATTTTGTGAGCATTCATAGTTAAAAGACTTAAAATATGAAGCCACAAGTATTATTTTTGGTTATTATTGTCAGCTATACTGCTTCTCAAGGAAACAAGGAAGTAACACAAAAATTCATCATTCCCGAAGATCCTCAACAAAATTATCGCAAACTTTGCACAACAATGGTAAAAATGATTGAGAATAGTAAAATAGCAAGCACAAGAAACTTGGATGTGTTGATATTCTCAATGATACAAGACTCTCTGCTTCCTTATTTTGAAGGATTTCATGCAATGATGAACAAAGTTAGTAGTGACATAATTACGACACGATCATTCACACTTTCTAAAGTTGAAAGGAACTCCAACGCTGACTTTGTGATACTTTTAATTTTTAATCAAATGTCGGGCTATAAAAACTTAATCCAAGAACATTTTGACGTCATTTTTCCAGACTCTTCAATTCGAATGTTTGTTGTTGCACTAGACACTGATGATTTTGAGATATTGCTTCCTGTTTTAACTGCATTAGCACAGTCATATTTCCACAATATTTATGGAATCTTGCAAAAAAATGCACAAGTTCTTGACATCTTTCAAATCAAAATGAGAAGATTACAAGAAAATCTACACATGAGTGAGATAAAGTCAAAAGGTGATAAATTTGAAATGCTTAGTGAAATATTGAAACCCGGCGATGTTAAAATCATAAAGATTGTCCATTTTAATGTGTATCCATTAACTTATGTGAAAGATGGTGTAGTTTATGGAGCAGACGGGAATTTAATTCGAGAATTTTGTAAAAAGTATGGATTCAACTACCGAATAACCAACAAAGGAACTGAACAATCAACATTGGAGAGAATGAACGTTGCTATGAGAAAAGATGTAGACATTCTGCTGACAACTAACATATATGCAGTTACTAATAGAATGATTGGTATTTGGCTTAATGAAATGGATGGCGGTTGCTTACTTGTTCCACGAAATGTTCCTGTATCATCGATAGAAAATCTATCATTGCCATTTGATAGTATGTCTGTGGCATTTATGGCACTTTCTGTTGCACTTTTAATTGTATTTTGGAAGATAATTGCAATTGTTAATGGCAAGCATATATCAGCTGTGAATATTATGTTTGATGCTTATCTATTGACATTTGGTATGGGAATATCCACACTCGACCGTTTAACATATAAGGAGAAATTAATGATATTGTGCTTTATGTTTGGCTCGTTTATACTTGCAACTTCATATCAGTCTATTATTTTATCGTTCATGCTAATGAATCCTGCAATGAGATCAGCAAAAGATTTACAGGAACTTAATGCAAGTGACACAAAGTTTTACATGTTTTATGATCAAAATGTTACTCATAATGGTGATCCTTTATTCATTCGACGGGAACTGATTATGAATATTAGAAATTTCAACGAATCATTTGAGCTACCTCGAGATCTTGATCATAATCTAGTTTACTTTGTAAGCTGTAAATATGCCAACATTTTTGTTCAAACTCCAAGAAATTATCGTGATGGAAAAAGACTATTTGATAGAATGTTATTTACTCCAATGCTACAAAGATATTCAGTCAAAACTGAATTTTATTATAAAGAAGAATTGGCATTAATTGTGTCAGCATTGACAGAATCTGGCTTATACAGTTTTTGGAATAAGGAATTCATCAATTCTGTAAATCAAGAAGAAGATAGAAAACATGAGTATGAAACAATGATTGAGTTCCACAACATGAAAGTTCCATTTATCATTCTTTCGTCAGGATACTTGATTGCACTGCATGCATTTGTGATAGAAATACTTTTTAATTTGTTTGAGAGCCGACGACTGAAAATGCATCAACAGTTATCATTGCTCAATCCAATTAGACTTAAAAGGCAATTACTCATGATTCGTGGAAAAATCTAATTCCGAAATGATTTATTTGACGGCTCTTAAAAAAGTTAAGAAGAAAAAGGTTTTAAAGACCTTCATTGACATTTAAGACACATATTAATTTTTGCTTGCTTATTAAAGGTGTCTTGGGTCAAAGCTCAAGTCAGACCTTACTTGCAACGCTGCTGTCGACTACACAAAACAATAATAATAGATTCATTACATACTTTATACCCTGTTCCAATCTGAAATAAGCTTTGATTTTGTTCATTAGATTTCAAGTGTAATTTAAACAAGGAACACAAATTTTATGTCACATGATGTCACGAATCACGATCGTTTAATAAGATTTATAACAATATATAATGTCTAACACAATCAATACCAATAAAAATGACAGTGCTGTCTGTTTGAGCAGTCTATAGGGAGCATTACACGAAGATTATGCTTAAATAATGTCTGATGAGATTAATTGTGTATAAATTCGAAATGAACATTTTTTTTCGAAATCATAAATGCAGTTGTAATTGTAATCTCTAGAAATAGAATAAATTAATAATTTATTTCAAGAAATATTGATTCTAAGCTTTAGATTAACTTCAAATTTGCAACATTAGGATAGTAAATATCTTTGAAATGTAAATTCAATTCGTGCCAAAAGCCCTTTCAGGTAATTGTATAGTTCAATGAACAATTAAATTCATAAAATCCCCTGATTGAATCAAACAATCATATCAAGCTATTCGGCATTCTCACATACTAGATTTCTCATGAAAAGCTCAACTCGGATGCATCCATTCCACCCGCATGGCATAATCACCGAATGTAAATAAAAAAGCGGCAATTGCATATTCCAGTCGTGAGCATAAGCACTTCCAGTGACTTAATGCGCATGTAAAAACATCAAAAAGCTCTCATGAGATCTCTACTCACCGATAAAGAAGAAAAAAAAGCAACAAAAACTTTATTTTTTTCATTCATTTTTCATATAAAGAATTTTTATTTTTTTCCCTTTTTTGTGCTTCCTTCATTCAGTTTCCATCATCAGCTCTCGTGAACAACATATCCGTGGTTTCTAGTCGATATTGAATTAATTGTGTGAGAAAGAAAGAAAGAAAGAAAAAATCAATGTTATCAGCACAATTGAATTTTTATTTCATTAAATTTAAATATTTTATTTGAAAAATTTTACGACTAAAGTGACAATCACGCGGAGATTCTTGTCGTAAATTGATTGAAATTTCGAATAAACTTGTTAGTGCAATTAAGCTTTTATTGGCATTTAATAGAAGAGAAGGAGAAAAAGTTCTCTGAGTCTTGTGAGAAAAAAAAAGAAGAATGTAATCGTGTGTGGGGTAGAAAGCTAGAAAGGAAAAAAGAAGTTCTTTAAAATCAAAAAAAGTATCTTTAATTTAGTGAGTGCCATAAGGAGACAAAGAAAAGTGATTTTATTAATACATCAATATGCACATATAAAGTTCATTAACAGTGGAAAATTAGTGGTAAAATATTATAATGAGATGAAGCCAAATGTCGACACTTTGTTATGTGCCACATAGTGAATTAATTATGCATCATAATTTTCAATTTTTTTCTGCTTTAGCTCTTTTGAATGATGTTTGAATATTTCTTTGCATTTTGGATGACTGACATGTAGTTTTGGGGTGTTTTTATGATTGTTTTTCTATCTACAGCTCTAAGCTTATATAAGATTTTAAGCAAGAGTGTGAAAATCTTTTAACATACTTTAATGCTGTTCAGCAGAAGTCAGGAAGTATTATGAAAGATTAAGGCTATGGAGTACAAAGATTTAATTATTCTTAGGGTAGCAGGTTTTGTCGTTTCTCTGATTCCATATGATTTGAAAGACACAAGCTATAAATTCTCTTTAAAAATACTTTATTCATGCATACTTGCTAAAAAGCTCATCACCTTCAATCTATTCATTGTCGACAAACTGATTCTAGGAGCTGGAGGAATTTTGTAAAGTTATTCAGTTATGAAACTCAGGTACTACTTGAATTAAGTATTATGACGAGCTTCTCGGTTGCAAGATTCATTTTACAACTGCCTATAATTACAGTTAAGCTCAAAATGATAGTGATTTCGGTCATGAGATATTGAAATGCTGTCCAAATTATATTCAAGCGGTTGAAAGAGTTAAAGCTGCAGCCACTTAGCAGCCGTTTTAAAGCTGATGTCCAGTGACTTTGTATTTGAAAGAAATAGTTCTAAAGTAAACCAAAGCTCAAAGTTCATTCGAAATTTGTGCAACTCGATTCAACTTTTCCATTCAAAAATTGACAAAAAAAAACATAGATGACTTTATGTTCTATAGAATGCTCTCTAATTGGCTATCGTGTTGATAACATATCAATAAATGTAGACCTGGGAATATGGTGAATGTGAAAAAAGGCGATTCAGCCAGCTTCAAAAATTAAAATATTGAGTTCAAAAAACCTCAAGTCACTATTATCCTAATTAACACAGTGAGAACGAACAAAGTTTTAATTTCCTTTATTGTGAGTCTTAGAAATTGTGCCGTTCGTAATTAATTGACGACACGATTGCATAATCAGAAAAAACCAGAGGGCGAAGTCGACTCGAAATTTGTATGAAGTCGAGTGAACTCAAGTCGACTTTTCCATACAAAATTCGAGTCGACTTCGCCCTCTGGAAAAAACATTTTCTTCGTGCTCTTCTTCTTCACATTAAACCTCGTCATTATTTTATTGCAATTTATTAAATTTCTTAATGGTAAAGTGCTTTAAAACTATTAAGTTCCCGCACATCGAAACTTTAAATAAATTAAATTCCATGAAAACTATTTCACCATCAAAATGCTTTAAAAATGCGCTCATTTCATTTATCGACGCTGACACATCATCTTATTATATGTTATGGTTACTCACGAAAGGGAGAACAAATTTTTTCAAGCTCACAATTACATGCATTATTCATAAACTGCCGCGAGCACTGAAAACAATTTTAATTCATTTTTTTTCTCCTTCTTTTTTCATTTTTTCCGTGGCTTGACTTGAAAGAACTTTCGAACTATTTGAAGTTCTCTCTTTTTTATTTTGTTTATGCAAATTGAAATGGATAAATTTAATTACGAGCTGATGTTAACAATGACGAACTTCATAGCCAGCCAACAACAATTTTTTTAATTCATTGTCTGATATTAATTCTCACTTGAAATTATAAAGGAAGACGGAAAAGCATTCGTCTGGTGAGAAAATAAACATAAAAAATTTAATTAAAAAACTTTACCCCCGCAATTTTTTCACCGTCAATTCCTGATGAAGTCACGAGAATTTTTTTTTAATTTAACACACATCATGCATAATTTTTATGAATGAACAGCAGACAAAGCCATGTCATATGATTATTTCATACCATTCAGTCAATGTTGAACGTGATTTTAAGTGACGTATTCAAAACGACGATGGCAATTTATTCAGTAATAATTAATAATTGAATAGAAGCGGAAGTGAAAGAGCAAAACCCTTAATAAATATACGTGCCAAATATTCCTTGCAAAGTCAAATGAATGGAAAATTGCGTACGGAAAACAAGCTTCGCGCGTGCTTGAAAGTTTTTGATACATATTTTTCTACTGTTTTCATTCTCAACGCAATGTACTTCTTCTTCTTATGCTATGCTCTCTCAACGCTCGCTCATTCATTCACTCCGCTCGCATACAACAGAAGCATTGCATTTGAATGGAATATAATAAAATGAAAAATTCTTTCCTTTTCTTCTTCATGACTGTGTGAATTTTTGTATGAAGAAAATTAATTCAATAAATTTGTTTTGTGATGCAATAATGCAGCCTTCTCAGGAATGAAAAGACATGGAAAGGAATTCAAATTGATTTTTTTTTTCAAATTTTTATTATATCACTCAAATGCTCATTTCTTGACGTTCTAGCATACAAATATCTTGTTAATAAAAATAAGTAGACAGCTGGATAATAAACATTTATTCAATTTGACTGACACAACCCGGAAACAGAAGCATAAAGATTTTTGGAGGGTTCTTGGACTAAAGATATTTGATTGCGGGTTTTAAGGAATGCTTACATTTTAAAATCACGCCTCCCCGTTACTATTTGCCGTTAATATTTAAATTTTAAAAAGTCGTTATTTTATAATTATTTGTGCGACTTGAGTTCCTTTCCTGCTGCTTAATACGACTAGGTACCTCTGAAAGCCCAATAAGTATGGCTACGAAATCTCAAAACCAGATTATTACAAATAATACCAGTTAATACCGAATCCTGAATACAAATTTCCAATAAAAATTGAACACATCTTTAATATCCCTAAAATACGATCTACAATATCGTAAAAAGCATCTTGTAAAATTTTTCTCAAGGATATTATGACTCTCATATCGATTACAATATTATTTTATGAACGTATTTTACGATTTGTAGTATTTTTAGTAGAAATATCGAACTGATCCCACAATAATTTATGGAACTGTCGGATGTATTTTAAGATTTGAAAAAAAAATGTCATTCATGTCGTTTATTGATTAACAATAATCATGTACATAATATTTGATCGCTTCCGATGAAAAAGGTTATGCCGAAAATGATGATAAGTCTAATATAGTTTTATTTGCTGAATAGAATTATGTAGGATTTCACTCAACCACAGCAGGAAGTTTTGTGTCCATATTTCGAGTAGAATTCTTGAATTATTCATTTTAACATAAAAAAGCTTGTGATAACAAGTTATGCATATTTTTGGGATAATCCTTGAATTCTAAATGTCGCTTCCCATGAAAATGTCGTCAAATTGCTACAAGGAAATGCAAATGTAGATATTTATACATGTTTCAAGGTTTTCAAAAAATCTAAGGTGCACTAATGGAGGATTGACACGCTTTTTTGAGTTATTCGTGAAAGCTTTTTCCTCACCTCGAAAAATTCACATCAATAAAATTTTTGCATTCACTTTTTTTTTTAGAAATAATCTTTTTGATGCTAAATTGGCTACTGAATTGTACTTAACTTATTTTAA